GAATGCTGTTTTTCTCTTTCAGCAGCACAGATTATTTCACATGTGTGCTTTAAGCCTCCGAACAGGATTTTACATTCTGTTTCCTCTCATCAAAAAGAAGCTCAACGCTTGTGTTATACGTTCTAAAAGGAGGCAGCAGAAGCAACCCTAAAATATCCCTACAGGAATATTACGACTGGAGATTTAAATGCCTCGGGGAGCCATTGGGATTCCTTAGAGGAATATTTTATCTGGAATAACCGGCTGTTCTGGCCTAATTAGAGCTTTTGGTTTAACCCTTTAAAGTCTGATCCAAGAAAAATAGGAAGAATATTGGATTTTTTTAGTCTGAAGTCTTTCCTTGGCCCCTCAACGACATATGAAGAAAAAAAACAGAGATTATTTTGATCAAATTAGCGTGCAATAAGTCAAAACTATATGTTGGTGTAGTCTTCTACTGGCTGTTATCAGGTATATCTGAATGTGTACAACAGGGGTTTGAGCAAAGCTTTTACCACTGAATGATGCAAAAAGTCTCAGATCCAAAAGAAACCGGATCAGATATGACACATTTGGCTTTATAGGGTTAAGAGTCTACTTGAATCAGAAAGATGGACGTGAGTCGGTTGCTGATTGTTGTGCATCCCGGCCTCAGGCCTGCAGGGGACCTGCAGAAAAACTAATTATCCCTGCAATCAAATTCGAGTACGGAGGTTTTAAAAGGTTCAATCGGATCTTTAGAATCTTAAAATGGTCCAAATGAAGCTGAAGTGCCAACAGGGGGGGGATCAGTCACATGTGACCTCACCAGCCTGATCCAAGAATAGAAAAAGACTGAAAATTACCTTTTTTTGGTTTGATTTCCTTATTTGGCCTTTTAACAAAATATGTAAAAAGAAAAAACAGAAATACATTTTTAGTATCAATAATTTATTACTATGCGATAAGTCAGGATTATTTTTTGTGTAGTCTTCTGCCCCCTGTTATCAGGTGTGTCTGATTGTGTTCAATAGGATTTTGAACAAAGTTTTTACCATTAAATTATGCAAAAGGTGTCAGACGCAAAACATTTCAGAAACCGTATGAATTAGATATGACACATTTGGCATTTTAGGGTTAAAGTAAATTCCCCAAAATTGAATGCAGCAGAAGGAACAATTTCTGTTATGTTCAGAAACACAAATGGCTTTGATTCCATTTAAATAATTTCCCTGCAGAAGTGCTTCTGTTATTGAAACATTAGAGCCACACACTGGGTGCTTTACACTTGAAAGTTGCAGAAAAGTTGTATAAATGTTGACTCTAAGAACATAAAACCTGTCAGGGTGTGAGAAAACACAAAGAACCAAAAGAGAAAAATGTCCAGGACAACACCCACATGAATGCAGGTTAATGTGGGCTCTCCATATTTGTCTCTGCACTTAACCCTTTAAAGCCTAATCCAAGAAAAATAAGAAGAATATTGGATTTTTTTAGTCTGAAGTCTTTCTTTGGCCCCTCAACAACATATGAAGAAAAAAAAACAGAAATTATTTTGATCAAATTAGCGTGCAATAAGTCAGAAATATATTCTGGTGTAGTCTTCTACTGGCTGTTATCTTTTATCTGGGTCCCACCATAAAAAGAAAACAGGGAGAAAAACAAACTGCCTCCAAGTCATGGTGTTATATCCCAACATAGCTGTGTATTAGTGTAAAACAATCATTTTTAGCTTGGACATCCACCATCCAGCTAGTTTTTTTAGTCTGAAGTCTTTCTTTGGCCCCTCAACAACATATGAAGAAAAAAAAACAGAAATTATTTTCATCAAATTAGCGTGCAATAAGTCAAAAATCTATGTTGGTGTAGTCTTCTACTGGCTGTTATCAGGTATATCTGAATGTGTACAACAGGGGTTTGAGCAAAGTTTTTACCATTAAATTATGCAAAAGGAGTCAGACGCAAAACATTTTAGAAACCGTATGAATCAGATATGATACATTTGGCATTACAGGGTTAAAGCCTAATCCAAGAAAAATAGGAAGAATATTGGATTTTTTTAGTCTGAAGTCTTTCTTTGGCCCCTCAACAACATATGAAGAAAAAAAACTGAAATTATTTTCATCAAATTAGCGTGCAATAAGTCAAAAATCTATGTTGGTGTAGTCTTCTACTGGCTGTTATCAGGTATATCTGAATGTGTACAACAGGGGTTTGAGCAAAGCTTTTACCACTGAATGATGCAGAAAGTCTCACATCCAAAAAGACTTTAGAAACCGTATGTATCAAATATGATACATTTGGCTTTATAGGGTTAAATCTAATGACTCAAAAACAGTGATGTATTCCTAATCGGGTTCCATTGTCTGGCTTTTCCCCGTCAGCAGAAGCTGAGCAGGTGTTTCTGGTGCAGTTCTCTGTGATTGATAGCAGTTAAAAATACTCTGCTCCTTCTTTTAAAGGAAACTGGACTGGATAAGGTGACCTCTGAATCCTCCCGCTGTTTTCCGGTTCACACCTTTAAACGTTCCCGTTCCCATTAGAGCAGAATGAGATATATCGATGCGTTTTTAAAAGGAAACGAGAGCTTTCTTGTTGTCAAACTGTTTTATTGAGAAATCAAACATGAGAATTACAACCTCAACAATATATATTTGTTCTCTTTTTTTTTCTTTTTTTTATGTGAACATACAACATGAAGACAATACCAAATTAAAACAAAACAAAAGTGACATAAATAAGGACATTTTCAAGACCCAATCGAAACGAGAGCTTTCTTGTTTCTGCTGTTGGGATTCACCGTAAAAACCTCAGAGTGATCGTGTCCAATTTCGACTCTCCTCATTACCCCTCAGGGAAAGGTTTCACACTTTCATTTCCCCGTTTTCAGTTTGGATCTATAGACCTTCGAGGCTTTGAATCCCAGTCTGTGTGTCATCTAGAAAATATCAGAATGAAATGACCACCGAACATAACATACAGTGGGGGAAATAAGTATTTGACCCCTTGCTGATTTTGCAGGTTTGCCCACTTACAAAGAATGCAACGATCTATAACTTTAATCATATGTACATTCTAACAGCGAAAGACAGAATCCCAAAGAAAATTCCAGAAAATCACATCATATGAATTTATAAAAATTGATAACCATCTGATGAGGAAAAACAAGCATTCTTTGTAAGTGGGCAAACCTGCAA